AAATACATTGTTCAGAAGGTATAGTGGTTAGGAGAGCTGACTGTAATACCAAAGAGCCTAGGTTCGAATCCCAGATAAGTCACAGTTGTCTTTTCCTTCATAGGAGGTAAAGTTAACCCACCTATTAGGTGCCTCCATAATAAAGTGACCACCACTTCTGGCCGTAGTAAGCAGTAAAAGCCTAAAAATAGCCACTACCTGCCATTAAAAATAATAATAATAATAATTAAAAAGACAAACAAATGTTGTGTAAGTCATTTTACTAAGAAAACTGAATATTAATATGACGAACAGAAAAAAGACTGAAAAAAAATATTGGTAACCCTCAATATTGTATAGGGAATTCTAAACATAAGCAGTGTTTAATAATAAAAGTTAAAAAGAGAAAGTTGTGTTAGCGGAAGTGAGTCCAAGATCTAATTGGTGAACTGCAAGCTTATCAAGGTCATTAAAAACTTTAACAAACACTCTACCCTGACGTTAAAATCTTAATCCTTTCAGATTTTCTTTTTTGCTGAAACTTTATAATTTCAGGTTAAAATGCTTGGGAAGAGGTAGTGATGTTTTAGGTTTAGAAACATGACTACATGAAGATGTTAATGCTAGTCTGTTACTCAGGGTAGATTAGCAAATTTCACTGCATAAATGTTTTAAGTAGTGAATGTTTTTGAAATTACTGAATAAAATTTAAACAATGTTTTATTTAATGCTTTTTTTTCTTAAAAGATCTCTTTTCCATATTTTAAAATATTATTTACTAAATATTTTAGAAAAGTTGGAGTAATTTATTTATTCACTCATTTATTTTTACTTTGTCATTATTTTAGAATTTTATTAATACTATAATCAGTAATAGTAAATGTATTGCACTTTTACATGAGTATTTTTCGCAGACTTCAAAAGTATATGGTAAATCCATTATGCAGATTGATAATCTATTTACAGTCATTTGCAAGCCCCCCCCCAAAAAAACTGCTATGAAAATACCATTTTACAAAATATTCATTTTTAGCTTTTTATTGCACAAAAATGTAGCCTAATAATTAAAACATAGAAAAACAGAAGAGGAAAAAATTTCATATTCTTTGAATTTAAAAACAAATGTTTTTCATAAATTATAGATTTTAGCTTATGTTTTCCTTCTCTCTGCAGTTTAGAATTTAATTTTTTTAATCCTAAAATTAATTTTAAACCTTTTTTATATACTTGTTGCATAAACTTGTGTATTAAATTTAACTAGTATTCATCTTAGCATAATTATTTCATAAAATCAGGAATATAATTTGAACTGCTAGCGCTCTGGAGTAGAAAACAATCTCATTAAATATATAAGCAGAAGTGGCGCATTTTGTGAATGTGAGTGAAAAAATAACCAGTGAAACTTTTAAGTTTCATAATAGCAGCAAAAACTAAATTTTATGAAAATACAGTTACATGTGTATAATTCGATGCGCAATCTAAGCAAAATTCCTAAATATTCTGCTTTTGTGAAATTTAGCAGCACTGCGCAATATCAGAAGCATTTTGGCATTATTTGTATCTGTTTGGCGCAGCATGAAGCGCTATTTAGACGCAGTGTGGAACAATTCGTGACGTCTTCGCCCGCGGAATTAAGTCTCTCCGCTTCAAAGTGCAAGCGAACGCCGTATAAATATGATCGAAATAACGGATACCGTTATACACCATAGTTGGCAATTTATGCCTGTGATTTGGCGCGATACTTTCTCCTCCGTAAATCTCGGAAGAAACAAAATTTGGAAATGAACATACATGATAAAAACGTTTTATCTGAGTTGAACACAGATTAGGAAATCAGAAGTACTTGACGAGAATCAAGTGGAAAATATATAATTTTTTTTTAACAGGAAAGAAATGAGTACGGTAGAATTACTGACAATCAGTTAGTTATATTAGGTATGCAATAAAGTACTGTGAATTACTTTGCGTTAATGAAAATTTTAGCAACAATTCTTTATAAGAAACACCTTTGTAACCGAGGAAAGTTTCCTCATAAAAAGGTGAATGAAAGATTTATTATTTCGCCTTTTGTAAAGATATAAAGAAAAGAAAAAATAAGCTGTACCTTTTTTTATTATTATTTATTATTATTTGTCCCTTACATAACGTTTGCCATCTCAGTGATATGATCGGATGGTGAGGAGAGCGTGATGAGTGCGGAAAATGTGATTTTATGCTTCTCCTAGAAGTTATTTTCTGTATATTTTAGAATTCTTTAATCTAATGAATAATTTAATGGATGGCAGACGAATGCATGTTTCTGTTTAAAATCAACATTGAGAAATTACTGATAGCTATAGACGTTACCCACGTTTTCCATCTCAATGATATGATCGGACGGTGAGAAGAACGTGATGAGTGCAGAAAATGAGTTTTTATACTCCTCCGTAGAAGGTATTTTTCTATATATTTCAAAATCCGCTAATCTAATTAATAACGTAATGGATGATAGGCGAGCGCACGTTCTTCTTGAGAATCAATATTGAGAAAGTACTGAAAGCTGCGTCGCAATACGACGTTACCCACAATTGCGGTTACGGACACATTTTTGTGACGTTTTAAGTTGCTTTGAATCTTTAAATGAGTCATGATTTAATTGCATTGACTTTTCATGATAAGCATGGAAAGTGCTTTCCGAATGCCTTAATTCGCTTCTTCTCCGTTTATTTTCTTTTTCTAGCTCATGCAGTTTAAGTTGATCTTCGAGGATATAAAAGGAGTCATTCATGAATCATCCAAATGTTTCTGTTTGACTTTCGAACGTAAGTATGATGGTCATCTATTGCGAAAAATGGCGATAGCATTCGAAGATAATTTTATTTACAAGGGAATGCTTCGAAGATAATTTTATTTACAAGGGAATGCTTTTTCAGTCTGTGTCAAGCTGGCTATTTTTTAAAGTTTCAGCATATACTTAAACAAAATTATATGTATATTTTTTTCGCTTTTGAACTCATGTTTTTAGAATTTATTATCCATACTCAGCATCCTCACGCTTTTTCCTCTTCAAGTTAATCTGTGTCCATCCACTGTAAAATTACATTAGTACCTTTTATGATTGCGTAATTTTTCATTTATTGAAGAATCATCATTCCCGGGTTTCGTGAAATGATGTTATGCGCATCCAGTTACTCAATAAATGCGGCGATAATCGCGTTGTTACATTTGTTAGGAGGATCGCTATGATCCTGATACTCTGGGCAATCTGTGTGCATCCAGTGCAGAAATTATATTTCTGTGGTTCATAATTAAGTTTATAAGTATTTTAATATATAAGTAAACAAAATTACATTTTATTTTAGGTAGCATTTTATTGAATAATGTTGAATTATTTAAATTTAGTTATTTTCATGATTCATTTAAATATTAAACTCAAATTGATATGCAAATCAAAACCTAACAATATTCCCATGCCTATATGTATTAATGAAGAAGTTTTCATTTTTTTCTTGCTTCATATCAATCTGAAAGTAATTAACTTTTATATTCTTTTGCCTCTGATTTTAAAACTTTTAAATTGGAAGTTTCACATTTCAATCAAAATATGTTGTCAAAAAAGGCTAGCTGTTGAGCTTCAGCAATAACTATTGGAATATATGGTAAATGTAAAATGAGTAGAAGGCCCTCATTAGGAGGCAGATTATGTACTCTATTTGAAATTATTTCCCCATTCATATGTCCTTCAAATTGTTCCCAATTGGAATCTTAATACCTTAAATTTCCATTTCCCAAATCAATTTATAAAAAATACAAAATTAAATAAATTAGAGAAGCAGGTATGATATATTGGAACACATATTCCCTAATATTAAAGGATTTTCTCTTGCACTTTCATATAAATATACACCCCTCCTTCAAAAAAAAAAAATAAATAAATAAATAAATGTACACACACGCACTCTTCTTTTCTTTTTTGTTTAATTATTAGATATCCTAGTGTAAACGGAAAACATCTGCCATCTGCTTATTTTACTTTAGTGTGAATAAATTTATCTTCAGAGGCGGGTGAGGGAGTGGATAATCTAAGAAAATTAAGTAATTGAAATACCAGATTAAATTTTCTAGATTTAAAATATGGTCCCATTTTAAATTTCTGCATATGGATTTTAATGAAACAAAAAATAATGGGGTATAAAATTCAAAAATACTTTGCAGGTATTGAGAAGGCAAAGCAATCTGAAATGGATTTTAAGAGAGAATAGTCTTTTTAGTGATTTAGATGGAGAAATTGCTTCAAGTATAATTGTCAGTTAAAATATTTTACAAAACTCGGCTCATGGGCCAAAAGAATTGTGTAATGTGATTTAATAAAAATATATATTATATACATATTTAATTGCATTTTTAGTAATTTAATACATAATTAGCATACAATATTTTTGGAATTATAAAAGATAACTTTTCATTTTAAAAAATGAATGTGAGTATGATGAGTACATTTTGTATCTCGAAGGTACTACATATGTATCATGTTAGTAAATAGTTTGTATATTTTTCTAAGAATTATAAGTTTGTAGTACAAAGGTGGCCAAAATATACTGCATAAAGTATCTTAAAACATTCTGAATTTACCTTGGGTATTCTGCATTTATTTATTTGTTAGTTTGTTTATTTATTTATTTATTTATTTATTATTATTATTATTTTTTTTTTTTTTTTTTTTTTTTTAAGAATGTAATGAAACTTGCTAATCCCAATGAAATACAGTGACAAGATTTCATTCAAACCTTCCTCGTGGATTTTTGAAGTTATTTTCTAGATGGTTGTTACATATCTCTATCTTTCTCTGTGGTTGTTATGCAGTTTTTCTTATTTAGATGTATTATAATGAAGGGAAGCATTGAACAATTTCCAACTGTGTTTTAATGTAACTGAATTATTTCATGTAGTTACATATAAAAGTTCTTTTGTTGTCTGTATAAAAAAATGCAATGTTAAGTGTTTAATTTTTCAGTTTTGGTATATTTCTTGCAATATTTCAGATTTTAGTCAAATGTGTGGAACAGCTTTAGCAAATTTGATGCAACAGTGTTTATCTGATGGCCAGCCACGCAAAATGTTCTCAAAAGATAAAGTAATATTGACTCTCTAATTTCTGAATGTGTTAAAAATTTATATTTGCTTTTTAAGCTATTTCAGTAATTATTATGAAGCTATTTTGCATTATATTAGTTGATTATTATACATTATATTAAAAAACAGTATTTTCTAAAATATTGATATTCAAATTTTAGAATATTAAGTCATTTTATTAGTTCAAATTTTAGAATATTATCTTCAGATTGCAAGGAATATTTTATTTCCTTATAATTTTAAATGTTAAAATACTTTGTATTATTGTTAATTAATTCATAATCCTAATGAAGAAGTATATTTAAAAAAAAATATTTTTATACTTTCTAAAATGTAAACAAGCTATCATTAGAATAGAAGAGAAACATGCCAATGTGACAATCAAAATCGCAATAACAAACTTGTGTTTTGCGTACATTTATTAAAACGCTCAATTGATTTTGAGGGCAGCTACAGTAGAAAAGGTACTAGAAAATTTTCTAGTAATTTCGTTCTCCTGATGAGGAAGGACCTGTAGCTGCCCTTGAAATCGATTGAGCGTTTTAATAAATGTACATGAAATACATGTTATTACAAAGCTATCATTAGCCAAATGTTCTGCTGATAATTGAATGAGGCATTATAAAAAGATCCTGTTATTCCTCAAGCATTTCAGGAATGCATGGCATGGAATAACTGCTGGTGGAAGCGTGAATTTATGTTTTGAGTTTGTTTTGGGTTTAGATTAGATGATCAAGGGGAATATTTGAGTGTGGTTAACTTATCAGAATGTCTTAGATAGCTGGTTGCTATTTAGAGTGATGTAAATGTGTATTGTTAAAGGTGGCAGTATTATGGGAAAGAAATTCTTTCTTTCTTTTTTTTTTTTAATGATCTAGATGTTTAGCTTGAACTAACATAGAAGTTTTTATGAGATTTCAAGGAATCTCATACTAATGCTACTATGTCATTTTCATTTGCAGTATTTATTCTAGTTTGGCAAAATGGATTCCTATCATTCTATAGTCTGTGCCAGGTGTGTGTATCAGCTTAATTATGTTCAGAATAGGTGATAAGCTCTGAGTTCTTATTTGTTCTTCTGTGATAAGGTTTCATTAGCTGGAGTAATTTCCAGTCATATGCTTTTTTAAAACAGCCTGCTTTCACCTTCGAAAATCATTGGTATGTTTACAGTCTTGTTTCTGTTTGATATGATTCTTCAGTTGTTACTGAAATCTGTCAGTCTTCTGTATGATGTCTATATTATCCAATTTCTATAATTATTTTTAGTAGATTAAAACTCACACATTTTTTGTCATTATCAGTTGTATCCCAACACATTAATTATATGATGCTGTTGATTTACATAATGCTACTAAAGTATGTATAATAAATTTATATTTTACTTTAGAATAGATATACAGAGCATAAATTTTATGTTTTTTTTTTTTTTTTTTTTTTTTTTTTTTTTGTATGGTGGGAACAGTAATGTAGTTGTTTGGGCAATTGGGGTTTGCAAACTTCATATTCCTTAATTTTCATTTCTTTTATATTTTTAAAATACTTTTGCCATATTTTTAAAATGTTGCAAATGATTGTCTATTCTGTTTTTATAATCAGTGTTATAAAAAAAACTATCCATGAAATTAAGACTTAAATGCATCTTTTAGAACTTTAAGATTTTATTTTAAAATATAGAAAATAATTCATGTATTATGTCCCTTTTCTTATCCTTAATTTTACAAGAGTCTGTCATAAATTTAGGAATAACATTTTGCATAGTGTCATCCAGAAAGTTCTATCATTATTCAAATTGAAGCATGCTTTCTTCTAATTATTTTTTTACTGCTGACAAGAGTGACCGTGATTGAAGCATTTGTGTAAATACTGTCTTTTTCTGCTCATGTTGTGTAATTCTAGCATGTGTTGTGCCATAAAGTTTTTTTCAGGTGCTATGATAAGAATGGAGAATCCAAATGGACATTTTCCCATATTATGCTCTTTTATTTTAAAAAAGGAAAAAAAGTCTAAAATAAATTGTTCGTAAAGTTTGCCCTTTGTGTAGTGTTGTTTCCAATGACACAGTTTGGAGGTGATTTGAGACATTTAAATGCAAATTTTAGTCTTGAGGATGATGCCTGCTCTGGACTATCATCATCTTAAACGAGAACCTATTAAAAGAATTTATCATTGTAAATCCACATTATACAGTTCAGAAACTGTTGGACAAACTATCCAGAAAGTATGGTGCATGGTCATTTGAAGAAAACTGAGTATGCAAGCTACTACAATGTATGGCACCCCATACTTTAGTAAAGCAACCCATGCATTCTTGAATTTTAGCATGGGATTCTTCATTATTGAAACAAAATAAAAAAGTTCCTTTTTAAAACACTCCATTACTGAAGATGAGAATAGGCATAATGCTATAATGTTACATGAAAAACATCATGAGTGAGCCCACTTAACCTTCTTTTGTAACAAATACTGAAAGAGGGACTGCATTCCAAAAAAGTAATGCTATGTGTATGGCAGGACTTAAAAAGAATTACATATTATGAATTGTTGCCACCAAATCAGACAATAAATTTAGAAAAATACTCTTCCCAAAATTGTAGTTTTAAAAGCAGAAATTGAAGCAAAGCACCCAGAACGAGGTGTTGTCTTTCATCATGACAGTTCTCAGCCTCACATTTCGATAAGTGATGGCAAAGACTGAGTATGGCTGGGATGTTTTGCTTCACCCTCATATTCAGCAGAGCTTGTCTACTTGGAGTTTCATTCCTTCAGGTCACTTTAAAGTTCTCTGAATGACCTGGTGTACACTTCTTTGATTTTGTCTCTCCACATGTGCAACATATATATATATATATATATACGTAGGTCAGTTTTCCTTAAAAAGTCCTCCATAAAGGCATCTCTTCCCTTAGGCAGATACCTGTTGTATACTTTGCCGTAATCAAATAAACCAGATTAAACTACAGAACAAATTTGTGCTTATATGATTCAGTGAATTTTTCTTATGTTTTTGTACTGTTCTATTTGTATTTATCATGAAAAATATGCAGAACTTTCCAGGTGATCCTTATTGTGTTAATTTTGTTATAATTTTTATGTACATGTACTTTTATTCATATATAATTTTTTTCACCCTTGAAAGTTATTTTGCTTTTATTTTATTTCTTCTGATGATTACTAACTTAGATGTGAAATGTGCTCATACTAATTATACTATATTTAAGAGGAAAAGTACGAGCTTTGTAAATTTATTTATTTTCTGTGTTTGCAATCCCAATGTCTTAAAAATGTGTAAAGGCTTAAGTTGCTAACAGCTGCTGTGTATGTTTCATACTTTTAAGTTTACTGGAAACCTTTTTTTCTTCTTGTATTGGAATTTTGTAGGAAGTGATACCATATATTGTGGCAAACTGGGAATATCTGACACCAATGCAAAGGAGAATAAAGCAGACTTGGCACAATACTGTTCATAAAGCTATGGTATGTGTGCTTCCTTTACATCAGCTGTTGGATGCTTTTATTTAAATTAATTAGAATGCTTTGTTTAACCCTAATTCTGCTATCAAAAGTGAGAAGATATGCTTGGATAATTTGCTATGAAATTAACTGTATATGGTATAATGATAGAATACTTACTGTTAAGAATTGTTGAATTCAATATTTATTTATTTCCTCAGGTTAAAGATTCTGATATTTTCCTGTGTGAAGAAAAGAGTTATGATAATGGGTCTGGTACTATGTTTTTTGGACTTGTTAATCAAGCAAGTAATTTTTATATATAAAGATAAAATATTTTATTGCATTGCCTGATTTTAATATATTTCGATTATATACACTTTTAATATTTTTTCAACTAAGATTGTTTAGATGATTGTGATTACATTTCTAATGATTTTATATATATATATATATTATTTATATATATAATTGTTTCATAAGAATAAATTGAGTTTAATTAAAAAAAATTACATTTAAATACATATTTAATTAAATATAAATTTAAACAAATTTAAATTTTTTAACAAATACGTATAAAAGTAAATTGTATATTAGTTCGAGAATTAAATCTTTTACATGTTTGCATATTTTTAAATTATTTTAAATTATTTTGGCTTTTTTCTTTTTTTAGAATTTAAATTTGCTTTTTTACTTTTTTACTTTTGTACGTATTTGTTAAGAATTTAAATTTGTTTAAATTTATTTATATATATAATCATATATATATATATTTACATTATAATCATATATATATATATATATATATATTAAAGAATAATTTTTATTTTTGGCTGCACCCCCTTTTTTTATTTTTGCACTTTCTGAATTTCAATACTGGATACATTTATTTTTTGTTATGTGTATATATAGACATACACATACATATATACATAAATTAAAAGTACAAAGTTTGGTGCATTTCAGTGTTAAAATGGAGATATATGAATGTCCTTTTGTAAATTGCTATGTTTCAGGAAATATCTCTGTTATTCTTTTTCTTTTTTTAGAAAAAAAGTTTAAAAGGTGCATCACATACTGTATCTGATTTGTTTCTTTTATTGCAGCCTACTTTCATTGAATCAGTTATTGCAGTTACAAATTTGCAACAATAATCTGATCATTTATGATAAAATTATTCCGAAAATTGAAATACAGATTGAAAGTTATGGAGATATTGTTTTCTAAGGATTGTTTTCAGTTCTGCATCAGATTGGCACCTGGAGTGGCTGAATTATTTGAGATAGCCAATTACTGATAGTTTGTCCTTTGTTCAAATTCAAGCAAATAGGCTGTCTGCATGGAGGCTGTATGGGGTTTTTCTGATTTGCAATGGGAAAGCTAGTTCCTCTTAGAAAACTTGTTGAAACCCCCCTAGAAAATCAATTACTCTAGAAAATCAATTACTTTAGATTTTCTAGAGGTATTATTCTGACCTTCATAAAAATCTTTCAGTTCTAATTAATGATCTTAATTCTAATTCATCCTCACCCAGAGCTTTTAAGGAAATTATTTCTTATTGTTTTCAATTTTCATCAATAGATCGCACCAGTAGCTTGATTTCCTTTCTCTCATTCTTATCCCTTTATCTTGTCTTACCATTGTCTTCTCTTTCATCATTTGAATTTCTGCAGCTGAATAAGAAGTTTTACATAACCTTCAAAACTACCCTGTAAATTTATCAATATGCTGATTCTTTTTGCTTAACTCCTCCAATAATGACTGAATAACTTAAGTTTCCAAACTAACTAAATCCTTTGGTTCTTTTTAAAATAAAATAAATTTACATTGTTATACAGTAAAAAGTCGTTAATTCGGACACCCATAATCCGGAATGATCTATAATCCAGACCTCAAAGCTACGTTGCATTGACGCATGCGCGTAAGACCTTTATGGCTGCAAATATGCTCTGCGCGAATACGCTTGCCCAAAATACGTTTACGAGTGCGCGTTTAATGTATAACGGACGGTATAAGCTAAGCTAAAATTATCTAATTATCTATTTCAGTTAATGTTGCAGATTGCGTTGTTCCTTAATCTTCGAATTGGATCCAGCTTATTATTTTTTGCAGACTGTTAGAGCAATTTTATAAAAGTAAGCTTGAACTTTCGATTATGTCAAATAGAATTTCTGATATATATTTATTAATATGTAAAGGATCTACAAAGCGAAAGTATGTTTCGAAGTTCATTAAACAAAAAGTGGAATTGCTACAAAAAATGGATAAAGGCATATCCTTTGTTTATTTAAACTTTAACGTTTGTTTATCTAAACTTTGTTTATCTTTAACCCTACAGCGCACAATGAATTGGAAGTTGATCTGTCAGCACTATCCTTATCTTCAGGGCAGATGTTTTTATTTTATTTGGCTTATAATTCCTTACTAAATGTAGTATTTCATATCGATGTACTCCGTCTTTGATATGATTTAAATCAAATTCCTCGTCATTATAATTCGCTTCCGATAGCGAAGAAAGTGACAGAGGTTATTGAAAACGAAAAAATTTCGATTGACAAATTAGTCGGAAGACACAGCAGTTATAGGACTTGAACAACGGAACTTTGTAACTGAACAAGCAGTTATGTCTGTTTATAGAATTAAAGAGAATGTATTATCACATAAAAAACGAAGCAACTTGAACAACTTACATTGAAAGAAATGTTTAATAAAGTAAACAAATAAATATTGAGTTTTTTTTTTTTTTTTTTTTTTTTTTTTTTTTTTTTTTTTTGTAAATTTTGATACCCTTTAGATCATAATTGTTCTTTATTTCATAAATTACGGTTTCATATTTTTAATTTTATAATTTCTGCATGCCATCTTACCAGATTTAAACTGATGATCGATAATCCGGAATTGCCGAAGTCCCGACGAGTCTGGATTAACGACTTTTGACTGTATTGATTTAATTTTATTAACTTTAAAAATGGTTATATTTTTATAGTAACTCTGAAAACACTAGTGTATAAAAAATAAAAAATCTGAAAGAGATTAGATTTTAATAGTTACCTGAAAGAGTTCTTTTAAAGTTTAATATAGCTAATTAGTAGAAAATAACAATAGAGATGACCCATGTGAAATAATGATATGTTTTATAGGATACTAGATGAATATGCATTTAGGCCAAACTTTTCCTTGTGACAATCCTATTTAAAAGAATGGTTTTCTTTATTGACCTCCTTACATTTTTCCCAGTAATATACAACAGACAATATAATCACGATAAAAATATAACTTAAGGATAACAGACTAACAATATGGACAAAATTTTGAAAAAAATATTTAAGATTTTTATTATTTTTTGTATTATTATTATTAATTTTACATAAACAAATTTTCAGAAATAAAAATACAGATTCTAATTGCACAAAAAAATGGTTTTAATTAATGTAATGGCTGCACTTGATGTATTGATGCAGTTTTTTTAATATGTGGCATAAAATTACTTAATTCTTAAAGTCATCTTGTTCAAAAGTATTCAACCTATTTCTCGTTTTCCGTAATAAATTATTGGTTTGACTAAAGCTTCCTTCAACGATGTAAGAAAATGTTGGGTAACAACTTTTATTTTCAGATAGCTTTCTCATATGACTTAAATTCAGCCTATACATGTGTTTTAAATAAGACTGCTTAAATCCTCCTTCAGTGCAGGAAATTCTTCTCCCATCATATAATATCAAGATAGATGTGTCATAGCTGAGCGGTTCTATAAGCCATGCTTGCATGTTAAATTTTCAAGGTCTTAGAAGGCAGCATGAAAATCTTCTAAATTTTACAAGTGATTGTATGTAACAATATATCTTCTGAGGAAGTTCATAGTTTTTTTTTTTTTTTTTTTTTTTTTTTTAATTATTTATTTTCTTGTCTGGCGTTTTACTTTTTTATATTGCACATTTTGCATAAATATTTATGTGTTTAAAAATATTATTGGTTTTTAAAATGGATAATTTGTGTATATATTCCCTTACATTTATTTAATATGATTTATTCCTTATTATATGGTACAGGTACAGATCTTTTAAATTCGTTTTTATTTATTTAGGTTGATAAGCAATTCATTAACAGTTTTTCAGTATAATTTTTTTTTTTAATAGGCAATGGGATCTTCATTATACTGATCAATTGCCCATGCATATTCTGCTGTTGACTTCTTGATCATTATTGACTCCCTTTAAAACTCCATTAACCCCTCAAAGGGTCCATAGTGGCCCCTTGATAACTCCTGATTTAAGCTAACGAGAATGTTATAGATATTCTATATATTTGAAAATGAACAAATATATAACATAATTCTATAAACATATTTAATGTTTTAATCAGATATGTCATGAATTAAATGCATTTTTATTTAATTAAATCAGATTAAAAAGCAAAAATAAATTTAAATAAAATTCTAAAGAACTGCATCTATTGCTTTTAAATAGTTTATTTTGTTAATCAATAACAAATTAAATTTAAAAGATAAATATCTGTATTTTGCTAAATGGCAACAAATTTGAATGAAAAGTGAAATAACGCAATTACAGTGGATGACATTCAATTGTGAATCAACACAAAATTATTTTGTGACTAATAGCTCTTTTCGGCTAAGAATTCTGTGAACTTTTTATTTTTCTATATATTGCTTTTACACATTACCAATGTAGAATCATGAGAAATTGGGGGGGGGGGGAAGATTCACCACCAAGGAGGAGTTATTCAAATGGGATGAAAATCAGTAGATGTGGTGTACCATGTACAGAAAAACAAGTGATTACAATTTCAAAAAACTGAACGATTTGTTCAAGTTTGTGCTTCATAAATTACGCAAATTAATGACACATTGGTCCACCTCTCGCCATTATGCAAGCAGTTATTCAGTTTGGCATAGAATTGGTGAATGTCCTCCTGCAGGAAGGATACTGTGCCAAGTTCTGTCCAAATAGCACATTTGATCAGCAAAATCCCAAGCTGGTTGGAGGGCATTGCCCATAATGCTTCAAACATTCTCAATGGAGGAGGCCCACCAGCGGCCGAGCGGTAAAGTCGCTGAACACTGGTAGTTCGGTCCGAGGTTCGAATCCCGCGAACGGGCTGGCTGCATGGGCGTTTTCGTGGTTTTTTCCCATGTGTAACGTGTATATGAGCCAGTTTCCCTTAGAAAGTCCTCCACGAAGGCATCCCTCCCCTTAGGCAGATAGCCCTCGAGGCTTTGCCATAATCACACACACACACACATCTCAATGGAGGAGAGATGTAGCGATCTTTTTGGCCAGTTGCGACC